CCTGCTCTGTGGCTTATGAGAGTCTGCGGGAAGCAGTAATGCACACACCACCTTAATGTATGGGTGCGCAGATAGGGCTGAGCTGTCAGTTGATAGATGGGAAGGGTTAAGGAGTACCTCCTAATGCAGTGTGTGTCCGTGTGTGCATGTTTGTGCATATACACGGGCCATAGCAAATAAATGGAGTTGACTGCCACATTGACTGACAGCTACATGTAGAAGGATTGTACTGCTGGATAAAGCTGTAGGCGTAGGCAGATAAAGACCAGAGGTATTAGTTGATTAATGATCAAAAGGCCTCCTGTCATTGTTTGATCATGTGAGGTGAAAAAAAGCAAGAAAGAGCTCTCGCTAAAAAGCCTGCCAATCTGAGCTAGCTAAGAGGTGCAAGATGGGTTAAGATTTACAGCAAGGCCGGGGCAGTATTTTGTTTCGGGCAGTCAGTCGTGAAGCACGTATTAGGAATTACAAGTGGGGAAATGAGTTATACTACCCCTGTCTTAGTACTAATAAGAACATATCGTCCCGGACTCAAAATAGGGCTGGGCTTTAGTAAATGTAATATAAGAAGTGTATTTTTCCATCCCTAAAAGCCCTTGATAAACTCTTCAAAGCAGATCCACATCAGCGGAGAGAGAGGGGACTAAGCTGTTCGCTGAGTTTTACACCACTGATAACTGATTCAATGAAAGACTTTGGAAACTCATCCTTTTTTTTCTGCCTTTGATTTTGCTTGCTCTCCATGTCTATGTATATCTGTCTCTCCCTTGTTGTCTCTATGCTTCTCTTTCTCCTCTATCGAGGCATTAAAGGAGGATTTAGATGGCTCTGTTATTATTTCTGTAGCACAATGGATCACCCCGTGTAATATAGCCAAACCCTGTTCTTTGCTTTTAAAAGCCCCCTCCCTCCCTATACCATCCATCCTCTGCTCTCTGTCTTTCTTTCTCTCTCGCACGCATATACACCCCCTCCCCTCCATTTCTTCCTCCATTTCTAAAGAATTAGACAGTATAAATAGTGCCTATGGCAGGGGCAGACACAGGCACAGATCCTCTCAAAGGGCTCCATTGACTGGTGTTTACTTAAGGCCAGTGACATTAGCCGCTGCTAAATCTACCTCAATCTGCCCCTCTCGGCTTCTCAGGTTCTGGATGTACTAGTCTGACTGTAACACAGACGCCTGCCCTCTCCCAGATCACAGCCACAGCGCAAGTGAGTGTGTGCATACACTATTGTAGTGCATTCTGGTGTGTCTGTGTGCCGGTTGCCTGTTTGTGAGATCGCTGACATTAGGCATGTAATGACCAATCCTATCAGTGGCGTGACAGCACAAGGGTACAGTGCCAGGTACCTTGTGTGAATACAGAAACAGCAACAGTAAACTAAACTAAATTTCACAACAGAGGCAGAGTTTACTGCAGGTATTCAAGGCAAATTATCAGTAATTTGAGAGTTCCTTTTGAGAGTTATGAGCATAATAATGAAACTGAAAATGCCTGTCATTGAGAGAAAATGAGATACGGCGCACGCAAAGACTAACAGGCACTTGAAATTCATATTCTTTCCTAAACACTATCATGAAATAACAATAATTGATCTGTGTGCTGTAATTGTTCGCGTGGGTAGAGGGGAGGGACTGGGCCACAGCGAGGCGTTTTACTGTAATTTTCTCATTTATGATGCACATCTATTACCTATCATTAAAGTTGAATGCAAAGCAAGCTGTGAACAGCAGTGAACATCAAACTGGCACGGAAAGACACAGGCTGAATAAAGGCCAAATTTCAGCAAATGACTCGATGGACTGATCAGCTGGGGAATAGACAGAAATAGGGCCTTTAAAGGATCCTCTCATCAAAGCAGCATCCTGCCAGCTCCCCCCAGCCATAACCTCATATAAAAGCCACACACACTAATGTGCACACACAGACACATAGACACACAAATCCTCTTTCAGGAATCAATAATTCAGCTAAAGAGAAGCACATGCTACGCCCCACTGCACTAATCAATAGAAAGCCAAATGTTATTGTTTCATCTCATTCTCTGACTTTCACATTCTAATCTGGGCTGACTAGCACATGGTGGACAGCATCAGAGAACTCCATTAAATTAGAATATAATACACACATACAGAGGGGATAAAGGGACCCCAAATTCAGAAGGCGTCTCAGTTGATTCTGCCATGCCATTACTACAATCTTAGCTCCTTTCTTTACGATAAAGTCCGTAGTTGTAACTGAGCGCAGATGTTCTATAAATTTTCTATGCATAGAATCTCAAATATGCGTCATAAAATGGAGGCGAGAGAAGGAGAATGGCAACACTTTGGTATGAGTTACGCCCCACTCCCCCTCCCTATCCCTGGAAGATATTTATGCCCCCCACCCACATCTCTTGGGAGAATGAGGCCATACCTTGAGAATGCAGCAATGAAGATGGATAGAAAGACCTGTGTGATTTGACACTGATGCCAAAATCTGAATGTATGTGTGCAAAATAATGGGATTTGCAGTGAATTTTTTTTGTGTATGTGTGTGTGCATGGAAGGCAAAAGTGACTGCCATGTGATTTTGTAGACTGGGTGGACTGGACCTGCCAGCCAAAGGCCCTTCTCCCCTCTCTGTAATCGAGCTATCAATGATCATTAATGAGAGCGTGACATAGCTCTCCACAGCCCTCTCGGCCACATTGCTCAACACTCGGGCCTCTCTCCCCGCCTCCCTTGCTCCTATTGACCCTGTCTGTGGCTCTATCATATCAACCTAGAAGGCCACTGGCTATGCTAAGTAACCATGAAAATGAATACGAATGTCGGCTGCTGATTTATAAACGGAAATGTATGCTCTTCTCGCACCCCACGCCCCCACCATGGGTCTCGTTTGCATGACACAGGACCCTAGTGGCTCGCTCAAGGATACATCAATCGCTGACGGTGGCAAGATCGGATCTGCGCTGACCTTGGGAGTGAACTGCAGCGCAGGCGAAGGAGGCAGGGGGCCCTGTTGCAACAGAGCAAGGAGGCAGAAAGCGAGAGGAGGGAGGAAGAGGGGAAAAGAAAATTGGACGGGAGGGAGGGAGGGAGGGAGAGGAGAATCGAGGGGCATACCCTGATTGAGAGGCCCCCGAGATGAGCAACTCTGAGATATGAGAAGGGGGAGGGAGAGAGAGGGGGATGATGGAGGGAGTAGTGCAGGGGGGTGGGAGGTAGAGGGAAGCCATATGGCAGCAGCACAAATGTATTAAACTATAAATCAGGGGAGAGCTAGTGGACTGCCAGGTGGGGCTGCAGGCAGGTCCTCCCTGCTTGAAGCGCAATGGTTCAAAATCCTGCTCCACATGCAAAGGATGAAAATATCACTGGTATTTTGCTTTATTGTACTTTGTCAACTCTTTTGATTCATTAATTGCTTAAGCAATTTTTTATTCTCCCTTATGTCCTTCAAATAAATAGTGGAAATTTCCCCTTTTCTTTGTTTCTTTTATTCCTTGGGCTAAGTAAAGCTTGTTCAACACATCTGCCAATAAAACCAACATTTTGAAACCAAAATCAAAACATTACTTTTTTCCTTTCCTTTTGTATGGGGAAAATTAAATATTGTTTTTTTGTTCAATGCTTCGGTGTTAAATAAAAAACTTTAGTTAGGAAAATTTCCAAATTAAGATCAAGAAATATCTGATTAAAGATTAAAAAACAAGCCTTAAAATCTGTCAAGTCATTAAATGTGAACTTAATACCTGACACAATTTTATTCTCAATGTTAAGAACACATTTGGTCATGTGCTGTTGTATTAAGTATTAAGGTTCAATACCCAAGCTTAAAGTATCTATTACTCCACGCATGCAATTTGAGACGTTTAACAGTAATATTAGAGCATCACACAAAAAAGTAAATTGAAGAAAATAAATTGTTGTTTGTTTTGTTTGTGTTTAAAGTAATAATATAACGTACAATAGTCCTTTAGTAACCACCTGGGACATAGTAACTGCACAAACATTTAGTATGTTGTTCAGCCATCCCCGTGCATTACAACAAGTCACCAACACAATAATGGGCAGAAACTAGTGCTACGCATGTAGTAGAAAAACAAATAGAGTAATCCCCAAAAGGCTTCCATTTTAATCCCTTGATGATGTCTGGGTAGTGCGCCCAGCCAGGGTCCTGGCAACCATCAGGGCCCCGGCCTGGGCTTCTATCCCAGAGCCACTGATGCATACTACAGCTAGAGCAAACACGGGCAGCCTTCCTCATGCCTGCTATCTGTCTGAACCATACCGGCCATACAAAAAGAAGGGTTCATAACCTATTTGTCCTGTCGTTGTAAAGCGCTCCAAGGAATTTTTGCTGTTTAGTGGATTAGCAACTTCAGAATTAAATGTTTAATATGCCTCTTTAGAAAAGTGGCATTGAAGCATTTAAACAATGGCCTACATTCAGCTTCCTTCAAATACTTCATTAGTAAATTAAATCTGCATCCTGACTCTCTCATTTGTTTAATGTATGAGAGGACAAAAAGAGCTGTCTGTCTGATATTTTGATTAACAAAAGCCTCTCATGTTATTTAACATGTTACACTTCATGCCATTGCAGCGTATCACATCAAGAGCTCATCGGTTTGCAAGTGAGGGATGGATGGACGTTAGTGGACAGCTCCCAGTAACAGTCTAGTAAGCTGGACTAACAGTAGCCCATAACCTCAAGCCTTGATCCCTGATCCATGATCCTTCACCCAGACACACACATACACACTGACACAGACATCCAAACTCCCAATGAGGTACCTGCCATCTGAAACCATCACAGCCAAGGCCAGCTATCCATCAAATCCCATCTCCACTCAGGGATGAGAGGGGGAAGAAAGGAGGGTGGTGGAGGAGAGGAGGTGGGAGAGAGAGAGAGGGAGAGGTGGTAAGGGTGAGGGAGGGAGGCTGGACATAAGTGCAGGAGCAGATGAGTGGGCTTGAGGAATGCAAGAAGAGCAGAAGACAAGCATACCTTGGTCTGGAGATAGTGGGGGTAGTAGTAGGTGTACTGAGGGTACATTGGCTGCTGCTCCAATCGCTTGCCCATGTAGCTGGAATCCTTAGCACTGAGGCAGGGAATGGTGACACGGGGGCGGGAGCTGCCAAGTAGCTAGCAATGGGATAGAGACAGCAGAGGAGCTGTGTGATTCCTGTCTTTACTGTCGGCACCACTGTGTCGCTAGCCAGTCCTCAAGGGAAAAAAGGCAGGGTCTGCGTGCCGGACAGCGGCTGAGAGAAGGTCTGCCTCTGATGTGGAAGCTCCTGACAAACGGTGCCTCACCGGTCCGGAGCCTCAGTATCGGGCGGATGCTCACTCAGTCTCTCACTGCTGGATCAATGGAAATATTTCCACAAGTGCTAGAAACCAAGAGCAGCGTGTCCGTCAGTGGCTGGTATCGGATAGTAACGCGTGATAAGGGTGAGGTAGAGGAAGAAGAGGAAAGAGAAGACGTGAAGAGGCGCAGGTGGCAGTAGCTCTGGCAGTCCTGTGAATGTTGGAAAACGGGAGAGGAAGAGGAGGAGGAGAGGAGGAGGAAAGGGATGGCAAGGAAAACGGGAGAGGACGTATAGGTTCACTTCTCTATTTAAGCTGTTTCACTCCAGTCTTTCGCCTGGGCTTTAATCTGCCTCCCTCTCAAACACACTGTGAATCTGACTCTCTCTCGCTGCCCCTCTCTCTCTTTCCCTCTCTTACATACACACACTGTCTCTCTCTCTCTCTCTCTCTCTCCTCTGTAGTCTGATCCGACGGTGGCTGCGTGCTGTCCTGTTTGACAGAGGGGAGATATCTTCAGCACCGTTTGCCGACAAATGCACTTTGTGCACGGAGCAGAATCACAACATGAGAGTCGAGCACAGAACCAGAAAGCAATCTCAGTCCGTAGCGGCCGGCCCAGCTAGAGAGCAGATAACACAGGGAAATTATCCCAGTTTCTAAATACTGTGGCACAAGCGTATATATTAAAAAATCCACCGGTTGGTTAGTCAATCCACTGGGTTCCAGCTAGAAGACGACTGGAAAAAAAAGAACAGTGTCTGTGTCCCAGGTGCCCAGTAGAGAAGGAGTCCCTCGTCTGCGATTCTCCCTCTTCCAGCTCTTGTAAAATGTGTTCCTTATTTCGTCCTTGGCTCTCTCACTCCTCTAAGCAGTCTGCCTTGTTCTCTTTCCCTCTGTCACACAGTTGCTCTCTCTCTCTCTCTTTCTCTCTCGCGTGCGCTTTCTCTATCACTCAGTCTCTCAGCCTCTCTCTCTCTCTCTCCTTTTCCTCCACACTGACAGGGCGGTAAAGGGGGCTCGTCCGAGGCTGTGAGCAGAGCAGACTGCCTCCTCCTTCCACAGCTCAGCCGGTAGGAGGGTCTTGAGCAGCTCTGTGCGAGAGAGGGACCCAGAGACAGACCAGCGGGCTGCAGCGTTTCCACAACCTGGGAGAACGCAGGGAAGAGGAGGAGAGGAGTGGAGACGAGAGGGGGAAGGCGTCAGCGCGGGCAGTCGATTCCCCCTACTGGCTGTACACGGAGCTACCACCTAGAACACACTGTGTCCTCAAACAAACACTTAACAAACTAGTCTGATTTACTCTCAAAACCAGTGAAGTTAAATAAACCACTTTCAATGTGCAACTTAGAACCTGTATGAATATTTTGAGGTAATCTCCACTATATTTCCTTTAATTTTAATGTTCCAGAAGACCATGTTTTATACTTTTCCCTCACCATCTTCTAATTTCTTTTTGAACAAAAGTACAAATGCAACAACTATGTTTTTTATGTATGAATTACTATACAAGCAAGGATCATAATAATATCATTAAGGTTTGGTGAACAACTACTGAATATGTCTTTCACTTCAAAAAACAGGATGTTCAGTCAGTCTTCACGTTTAAGGGCTATACAAACAACCACTTAATTTAAAGGCAGTGAACAACAATCTCCCAGCATTGACTAAGAACGAGAAGGGAAAACCATTTTATGTGTAACATCAAAATATGACAATGAATGAATTCATGTCTTTTGATTGACCATGACCGTGACCAAAAACATGACAAAAATGTCCTGTCGGTGAGCCTTCGCTTGATCACAAGTAACCGCAGCCACACTCATACTTCTTCAAACAAGATCAAACACATGCGTGTAAAAAAAAAAAAAAGTCCCACTCCCTTCCCATCTCACACACAAACACAGAGTCTCCGGCACACACACACCCGGATATGTGCACGGATAGGAACCAACCTCAAGTTCTCGTGAGTGTCTCAGTGACTCTAAGGCCACAAGTTCAGGAGCCTCAGTTTTCACTCAATTAGCAAATCAACTTAGTTTTCATTTAAATTACCAAACATGAGTGCAGCAGGAAACCGCAGCCAAAGACCACACCATGAAATTACTGGACTGAAAACAATTATATTTTGGCAATTTCCACATCTGAAAATAGACCCGTGACTTTGATGAGTTTAGTTTTGTATTTCATCTGTTACAATTTAGAGCATTACACAAAAACCCATGAGGCTGATGTCTCCTTCTCAAACAATAATCATCTAATTATATATTTGTAGTGCAACAAGTGAGTTCATCTGTAGAAAATACACTTTCAATATGTAAGATTGAAAGTACTGTAGTACGGTTATGATTATTTGATTCATTTGTAAATGAATCAATGATAATTATAAAAATTTACCAATTCTGATTGTTTTTGTTTTCACAATCTAGACACACATGTTTGGTCGTACAAAAGCCACATATTTTCATAAGAGTTATGTGTCTAAAACGGCCCAGTGCATGTGGACAGACGGAATCAATACCAGTAGAACAATCCCAGGGACCAAAACAAAGCTCGGTGGGAAAGGGCAGCTTTTTACAGACACAGAGGAAAAAATATTTATCAGATAGGCCATTTTTATCTGTAGGAAAGAGATGAGGCTGATATCGATTGGGGATTACCAGATTAACAGCCTATGGATCAACTGGACGCATAGACTCTTAACATCTGGGGAAAGACAAGTAGAGAAACAAAGGTAGTAAGATGGACAAAGGCCAAAGGAGGGAGTAAAAGAAAGAGAAATACAGAGAGAAAATAAGGTAAGAGACATTGGAAGACAGAGCCTGAAAGAGGCACAGAGGCAGAAAAGATTCATGTGTCTTTATAACACTGTGTGTCCACTGAGCGACCACATGAAGTCCTCTCTGTATTTCATAGATAAGGCTCATCATTTTCGTTTTTCGCTTAAAAGTACTGAGATTTTCAAAGGAGTAAAACAGAGGAGTAGATCAGTTTGAAGACATTTTTACACAGATGTTGTCCACATGTGACCAAAAGTCATGTCTCCTGCTGCACATTATGCCTCTACCGATAGAAAATGTGGACAAATATAGAGAAAAAATGCAAATGAGCTTTTAATTAGAAACAAGAATCCATCAAAGTAATAAAAAACAGTGTGTGTTGTGCTGTGTTACACTGTGCTCTGTTAAAAGTATGATTATCACCAAGATTGTTGAATTAATCCAAAGAAGAGCAACAATTAGTGGACTGATTGATTAGTCAATCAACAGAAAATAATTTCGACAATTGATCCGGTGTTAAGTAATTTTTGCAGTAAAAATGCTGCTGGTATAGCTCCTCAAATGTGAGAATATAATGCTTTTCCTTGTCATAGTGATAGCTAAGTGTCCTGCTGTTTTGGATTGTTGGTTTAAAAAAAAGGAAATTTATTTGCATCAACAGGCCTTTTTCATAATTTTCTGACATTTTTAAGACAAATTATTAATCAAATAATAGAGAAAATAATTAGCAGACTAACCCATCATGAAAATAATCATTAGCTGCAGCACTAAAACAAACCTATATTCTGATTAAGTAAATCAAAAATATTTTTTGAAATGATGGACTATTTGCCACTATTCACGACTGCAACCTGACTAACCTTTTCTCGAGTTCATTCATATTAGTTGACACAGAATGGAAAACACAGTAAAGTACTATTTCACAGACACTGGTCAGCTAAACCATTAATATTCATGGGTCCACCTATTAAGAATTAAGAGCCGGGAATTGAGACTTGACTCTTGAAACTAAAGAACTTGACCTGTGGCCCTATAACAACACTAGAGACTACCTTGAGAACCACATGATGTGAACTTTCAGCCTCTACCCATGAGTTTGCAAAGGTTAGTTTATAAAGCCAAATACAAGACATGTGACTGGAGAGCAGTAATGCACGCTGTTTGTAAATAAATGTCGGCACCGTGTCTCATTCTGTGGAAGCAGACCTTGAAGACTGAATGTGTGTGTTTTGCTCCGATGGTGATGGAAGCGCTCTGGTCTGAATCAGTGGGACTGACGTCACAGAGAGGTGATATGCAGCCAAATATTTAATGGAAAGAGAGTAAGAGTGAGTGAGTATCTCTCTGTTCTTGTATTATTAATACTGATGCAACATCTAGTCATCCACTGTAGAGTCATCTCCATGGTGTAGTAGTTGGGGCAACTGTAGGAAATAATTATTTTTTATATTTGCAAATTTGTATTTTTTTTTAACCTACTCTGTACACTATTTTACGCTGGGGCCACTGAGAACAGCACAATAAGTGCCAGAATATTTCAAAGTGTGTTCAGTGTTCTTCACAGTGAGTAAAAACTGATCTGATTTACAAGCCCATTTGTCAAGATGAAGCTGAAAACTGTGCCCCTCTGCTGTTGTCAAATATTTAAACACCTACACTAAGAAACACTAATACTTTGCAGCCGGGTCCGTCCAATATTTTCATACAACAAAGCCAAAGCCATCTGCTGCTCCTCTGTTCTGAGGTCTTCCTCTGATGCTGGTTGATTCACTTTCTAAAATGAGAGCATGAGTGACTCATTCACAACACTTTAAAATAGAGAAAAGGAAGACAGCTGAGGGTACATCATGCCCCTGAAGGTGCTAAGTAGTTGCAATTTCCCTCTAAAGAATCAGTCTAAAAAAAAACTTCAGCGTGGCCTCTGGTCAGAACCAGAGTAGTTCAAGTGTTAGGGCATTTTTTATTTAGCCTTAGAATTCTTGCTTGTCAAGTTTGCAGCGCAGTGCAAACAAGCTTTTTTGAAAGACATTTCAATTATATTAGCATCCACAGAGATACTAGTGTCCCGAGGAGGCAATGAAAGAGTTGCCCTTTTGTTCATTGACTGCTCTGACAACACCAGTTATTTTGCGAATGTCCTGTGTCTATATTAAAAAGAGAGATGAAGACTATTTAAATTTAAATAACATAAAATAGCTGAATATTGTCTTCTAAACACAAAAAAGTAAAGAATAACACAATGTTCCCATCCACACAGAATTCATAGAAAGTCCACTACCACTTGCCCTACTGCCCGACCCCTCCCCGACGACTACTGGCCTTCCTCAAGCTGCTGCAGAAACCAAAAGGCTTTGTTTCCTGTGGTTTGCCCGACAGTCCTGTCATGGGTGTTTCCCAGAAATGACCAGATGCGTGGAATTCGAGGGAAGGCTGGCACAGCGCCAGGGGAGGGATGGTGGGAGAGGAGGAGGGGCTGGGAGAATTGGGGGGGGGGTGCAGTTAGGGAACAGCAGGGCCTGGTATTCCTGGAAAAACCCTTTTGCTTTTGGCAGTAGTTCTACTGGGAGATACCCGAGCACCATAAGATCATCTTACACGTTTTATGCTAACCTACTGATATAGCATGACTAACCAGCTTCCCCTGGGCATTCTGTTCATGATAAAGTGAAAGATGAACTATCTCACCAGCCCAACTACGACAGGGTTGATGTGCACATGCTGTTGCAACACAGACACTGGCATCTATCAAGCATCTTAGACTGTGCTTGTGTTATGGATTACAGTAGAGCTCCTTTGACTATAGTTCACAAAAATCAGAGAAAACATAACTGAATGTTTATGATCACTCCAATTAGGAACAGACTGATAAACAGATGTTGCTTGAATGCCAGTGCTCATCACACCATAGAAGATTACTAAGTACTCAGTACAGATGATGACATTTGTACGAAACTGTAGTTTTGCTAGATTTTTTTCATTAAAGCAAAATCGAATTTGGCTAGATTTTAAGTCACGCTAAAACACATTAATGCCAAATTCAAGATCAACTGCAAAAAGAGATAATTTAATAACTTCAAATATCTCAGTGTATGAGGCCTACGAGAAAACCACAGATGTTGGCAGTTATATTAAAAGTGAAAAGAAAAGCAGCACAAACCGCAGACAAAAAAGAGGGATAACCTCTTATGTGGTTCTTGAGTGCAGAATGAGTTTCAATTTGTCTTCGTACTGTTTCTTGTAGTTCATTCCCATGGTGTGGTAACTTATTTGATTATGTGATTAACAACATCTGAATTCAACAAACCAATTTGATTACAACTGATCTTTAAACTCTCATAATGACAAATTACATTTGCAAAAAAAGTACTCTCTTGAATGTAAATCGTAGTGACACCCTCCAATCAGAAGCGTACACTGAAAATAAAGGTATATTTTCTTGTTTGTAAATAGTCGAGCTTGGCCAAATTGCCTTGTAATGTAACTGGCATCCATTCGAGCTTTCTTCCTGAAACATTGTAATCTGAGAAGCTGACCAGACTTGAAAACACAGGAAGTATACACACTGA